TAATTTGAGAACAGGATTGCCCCTTTGGTCTGAGCATTAGTCAAGGTTGGAACTTTCAAGTGGCTGGCCACTTTGCTTTTCTATTTTCAACATTTACTCTATACCTACTCTGGGTTTTTATTATTAAAGCCAAGTATTATGTGTGCCATAGTGCACAGATTGGCCAGGTGTCCATTGCAACAGTAGAAGTCTGAGAAGGTGTCAAGATGGGTGTCTAGTGTGGCAGAAGTCTGAGAAGGGTGTCAAGGGGAAATCCACAGTCCAAGGGGAGACAGAGACAGCTCTCTGGAAAACAACATAGGAGATCATGCTGAAGAAGCACACAGGGCAGGAACTGCCTGAAAGCAGAGCCAACTGGTCCCTGGTGGTTAAGTCCATTGGTGTTTGGACTTTGGGGCCTGTGGAGTTTGGGCGGAAGCTGGATACTTGTAGAGATGCTGAAGAGGAAAACCCCAGACTTGGTCAGAGGGCTTGGAGAAAGACAGGAAAATCCAGCCCGTGGTGGGTGACTCTGGCAGGTGCAGCTCATGTGTGCAGCCACAGGCAAGCAGCTATCGCATGAATTCATGCCTAAAAATTTGGACGCCAAGTGAAACATGAATCTAGTTAATCTTTATCAATAAAAATCAGGAGCCAATTATCTGGGTAAGATCCTGAAAGAACAGAGCAGCCACCAGTCGCCTCCTACCTCTTCTGTTCCTAAAGGCCAAGAGCCTCTCTCAACCCACCTTACTAATTCCTGTCTCTCTCTGCCTACAGTCCTCAAACCACTCTGCTTAATTTTGGTCAACTAGTGGCTGGCTCCAACCTCCGACTCCAAGCAAGATTTGTCAGAACACAAATTAAATTATCATACAACATTCAGTGGTATTTAAATATATTTTTTCTCAAAGAGAATTATAATTATAATTAGTTAAGGTTAACTTATTATTGGTTACAACATATTTGATCACACTGTGAGGCCCAAAATGGCATTATTCACTGGGAAAACCTATTTCTACTTGTGATGTGGCTCAGCCACAGCACATAATTCTAATCCAAGAACTTTCTACTTATAGTAAACAGATTAATGTCAACCATGGGTCAAGAGGAAGAGCAAGCAACCAGTTGGCAGGAAGTAGGGAAATAACCATACATATTAACTGGGAGGCATTGTATCTAGTTTAGAAGGAATACTTAATTGTTGCTTTTTATCAAAATCTCAGTTTTTTTATTTTACCAATAAAGACTTGGGAGCCAGATGCTGGTGTGAAGCCTGCCTGCTCCAAGACTCAGAGAAAAATCACCCAATTGAGCCGCGTCCTCTACCATCCCAGAAAGGACTTTTCTCCATCTCAACAAAACAAAACCCAGGAAGTAGAAGAAAAGGTTATTCATCTTGGAATTTGTAGAAATAGAGAAGACACTATGAAAGAAAATTTTAAAATATAAAAATGTCTTACTAAACCAGGCATTGATGGCATATACCTTTAATCCCAACACTCAGGAAGCAGAGGCTGGCAGATCTCTATGAGATCAAGACCAGCCTGGTCTACAAGAGCTAGTTCCAGGACAGGCTCAAAGCTACACAGGGAAACCTTGTCACAAAAAAAAAAAATCTTATTCAATATATTCACAGAGAGTTGCTTGAAAACTTTGTAACTGTAACATAACATTGCCTCTTCTGCTTAGTACTTAGTATTCAATTATTTGACTATATTTCTTTCTCTTTTTTTAATCCAAATGAAAAATCTCTACAGTCTAAAGTCTTCAGCTTAGGATTTTATGGAACTGGAAGACACAAACTGCCAATGTGAGTGATAGTTTAATGTGCACTCATTTGCTGAATCTTCATTATTTTCATTGCATATTCTAGAATAGTTAACTCTTGTCTAGCATGTCTGCCTCTCAGGTTGCTGAGGTCCTGACTTTCTCATCAGTTACTTTCATCACTCATTCTGAGGAAAAAGTTATTTCTAAACATTTATATGTAAGATGCTGTTTTTCTTCCCTTCTTTTGTCCTTTTTATTCCCTGCGTGACAATATAGACTCAGTGCACCACACTAATTAGAAGATTTTTTTTTAACTAGGCAAAATAAAACAACATCATAAGACTCTTTGTTTTGGAAAACATGATGAACTCTGTGAGAATGTGAAATTGTTCTCCTCTAAACAAGAAGAAATTCTCCCATTTAGAGCATTACCATGTAAGTAAAAGACAGGTGTGAACAGATAGTTCACAGTAGAGAATTATCAGTTCAACCTAATATGGACAGAGGATCTATCTATAACACTTGGTCATAAAGTATTTGCTGTTAATTTAAGCTACAATTTAATTCTTGACATGTTTGTTTGTTCTAGAAGAAGCAGGAGAAGAGGATCAAAGGAGCATGGATAACTTTTGTTCACACTTTTGAAAAAGATATTTACAAAAGAATCCTAGATAAAATAAAGCTAGAATGCTTATCACAAAACGCATTACAAAACCACAGTGTATATATCCATATTTTCAATTCCATATCCCTTTATAATTTTCATATCTTCTTAGTTTCTCGTAGCAATAAATTTATAGCTTATACTTTTAGCTTCTTGTTCTATAGAGTCTTGATTTGTGCCCCTTACTTCTAAGCATCAACCAAACTAATTTTCTCTTTTTCCTCATTGAGAATTATGGCTCTCATATGATTGAAGCTTCTCATTACCTATCACAGTCTTTGTGGTTTCATATATATGTTCATTCTGCTATATTTAGAAGGCTTTGTTTTCCTTGATAAATTATTCTCATTTTAAAATGACATCACAACAAAGGCCAACACCATTTTATTGTGGTCCCTAATTCAGGGTCTCTGCCTATATATTTTCAGACAGCATAATGTAGAACATAGTCTTCTAGGTCTTTCTTGGGCCTTGCATTTGTATTATTTGTATATGCTTTTATAAATATGTATTGACTCATCTCTTTTCATTGTGTCACAGGTGTTGTGAGAAATTACTCAGGGTCCACACAGGAAGCCAAATACTGTTTTAATGAGTAAATCAACCCAATCAACTGAAAGAATTCCATAGTAGTTTAAGAAGATTTATGAGATTATAAAGTACTTCAGGACCAACAAGGGCATTCCTACAGCCACAGAGCTCTAGGGATTTCCAAAATTGTAACTCAAATTTACAATCCTGGAACAGGGGGAGACAATAGGAGGTCTAAATAGGAGAATACCACGGCTATTTCTGCATTTTATCATGGGATATATGCTCTGTTGAAGAACACATCTCCCTGAGGTGTGGTGTTACAATTACCATTGTAACTGCCCTATAACCAACTATGTCACTAAATCTAAAAATGCAGTTACTTGTCATGGAGCACATATGTAGACTAGTGAATTTGTGTTATGTTTCATTTGGTATAAAATATGTCCCCTAGTAAAACAGTACCTTCCAAGAAGGAATGGATGGATCATTCTATGAACCCAGAAAAGATTAAGGTAGCAGATATGTAAGGTCTATCTCACTCACAGTTTAATCAGTGAAGTAGAAAAGGGACAAATAATATACAAATGATATAAAGGATGATTTACAGAAACTAGATTTATCTAATTCCCAAGAATGTTGTAAGCTCAATCTAGGCACAGACTTAGAGATACTAAAATCCCACAAGGAAACATGAGCATGAGGTGGAGACCAAGGGTAGTTAATACTGTCACCCTCAATGCCTCCAGTGTCAATGGTGTAGTAGATGGCTAACCTGGTGACTATAACCATAATGACACACTTAAAGTAGCTTGAAACATGGAGGAATTGAAAGGGGAGATAGAAAAGGAAGCATAACTACAAGACTACATTTGTTCCACAGTTTTGTGATGAGTTAGCATACTATAAAGTATCTGTGAGGTGCCTAGGTACCCATACTGTACCAACTGATTAGAAAAAAGTATTAAAACTTCATTTGTATCTCTAAAATGTGACACAAATTTTTTGATGAACTGACTTAAGAAAAAAATAGTATGTGATGACCCCAACTGGATGGCATTCCCCTACATATGGAATTGGGGTGGGGGGATGGGTGGAGGGTGGTTAGAGTGCATGTGAGAGGGCAGAGAGGGTAAAAGGGAGGGAAGGAGGGAGGGAGGGAGGGAGAGGGAACTGGGATCGACATGTAAAATAATAAATTAAATTTTAAAAAAAAAATGCTTTGACTCCAAAATTTAAGTTGAAGGACAAGTAACTGGGGAAAAGGATTTCTATTTTTGTTTCCACAGAAAATGAAAAGATGTGGATTCCTTCCAGACTAATGTGGTTTGATCACGCCAGACCGCCTGAAACAGAGTACAAGGTGATCCTACATTCAAAACAGCTGGACAAAGCAGCTTTACAGACTACAGCCAGGATTTCTGAATCTTCTTCGAATCCCCCATGACAGTGCCCCTTACCAGCAGGAAGTAGTTTGGAACGAACAACGCCCAAATTCCCAAATATTGTGTATAAATGTTTGTTTTCATTTAATTGGACTTTGTTATATAAAATAAATTAATAAAAAATAGTATGTGAAATAGAAAGGAAATAAGTAAACTTGAATAAATATAAACATATGTTAACTGGACAGCATATATTCATGACATTTGAGTGTATGCTTGAGCATTCTAAACAGAGAAAAAATTATACGAGTGGATAGAAAATGAAAAAAATTTAATCAGATTAATGTCAGTTTATAACTTCTCCATGGAGTGCTGCCAGAAAATGGGGTCAGGAAGATATTTACATATCCTTTCTAAGCTTTTAAGTATTCCTTCTGTACAACTGAAAGCTACTTTACATAAAAATTCTTCTTTGGGAATTGAGCTATGCATTATTAGAATCTCTGTTTATGAGTATATAATTACTTCTCTGTTTCTAGAACATGTTGCAAATCTCTTCTACCAGAGGGTAAAAATCACCCAAATGTCAACATAGGTAAGCAAATCTGATCCAGGAACATAATTTACACTGAACTTGGTTAACAAGGAATTGTGTTAAGTGATGAATGTTCACCATGCAATCATTTAGGATATCTTCCCATATTTCAGTAGCTGTCTGCATACTTTCTTCATTGCAGTCTTCATTTCTTGATTCCTCAGGGTATAGATCACAGGGTTCAGAAACGGAGTGCCAACTGCATCAAATATGGCCAGATACTTGTCCAGGTGGGTGGAGGGGGAAGGCCATGTATAAATAAATATCAAGGGACCAAAGAACAGGACCACAACAGAGATGTGAGCAGAAAGAGTAGACAGTGCCTTGGAGGAACCACTTGAGGAATGTTTCTGAACAGTGACTATGATGACAATATAAGATATGGCCAGTATGAAGAAGGAGCCTACAGAGATGAATCCACTGTTGGCAGATACCATTAATTCTAATTGGTTGGTATCTATGCAAGCAAGTCTGAGGAACCGAGGAAAGTCACAGTAAAAACTGTCCAAAATATTTGGTCCACAGAAAGGCAAGTTCACTATGTAAACAAATTGAACCAGGGAATGCATAAGGCCAACCACCCATGCAGACACTAAGATGAAAATGCACATTTTGGCATTCATAATGGTCAAATAATGAAGAGGTTTACATATGGCTACATATCTATCATAAGCCATGCCTATAAGCAGCACCACCTCCACACCACCAATGACATGAATGAAGAAGATTTGAGTGATGCAACCTCTAAAGGAGATGACTTTGTGCTTTCTGAACAGATCATAAATCATCTTGGGACAAGTGACAGATGAAGCACCTAAATCAATTAAAGAGAGGTTGGCCAACAGAAAGTACATGGGAGAATGTAAGTGAGGGTAAGAAGCCACTGTGAAGATGATGAGGGAATTTCCCATCATGCTTGCCATATAAAACATTAAAGCAAACACAAACAGAAGTACTTGCATCTTCCAGGAGTTGGTGAGTCCCACAAACACAAATTCTGACACCACAGAGTGATTTTTTCCTTCCATTGGTGTCCTTTGTAGTGCTACATGAAGGGCAGCAGTAGAAGAAACTGAAAATTATGATAATTATATTAATAGTGCAAAAGGTTGGAACTCAGGGTTATGAATACATATTTTTGATTTAACATTTAAAACCAAATCAAAGATGAACAAATATATGAGCAAATGCTTTCATGGATACTTATCAGGGGACTGCAAATTACAAACATTCTGAAATACCATCTCATATCTTTTAAAGGAGCTTTATCAAAGGCTCAAAAATAACAAGTTTGGGCAAGTGTTAAGAAAGGAACCTCATACAAAGTTGTTGGGACTATAAATTAGTTTATTAATTTAATAAAGCATATTGTCTTTTCCATAATAATTTTAAAATAGGGCCTTGGTGGTATAGAGCCCATGCCTTCCAGTGTGTAGGGCTCTGCATTTCATCCCCATCAAAGAAAGAAGGGGAAGAAGGAAGGATGGAGTGAAAGAAGGAGGAAAAGGAGAGGAATATGTGGAAAAACAGAAAAATTGAGATAGATTCAGACAAAAAAGGCAAAAGGAAACAGGAGAAATAGAATGGGGGAGGGAGACAGAAAAGACAGAGATAAAAATAAAGGAGTGAGATTATTATTAACCATTATGATTCTGGGGATGAATCATCAAGAGGTAATGACCCTGTGTTGGCCCATGATCACTGAAACATTAATTATAATAACCTGCATAGAAACATCCCAAGTGTTCCTTTGCAGTAGACTTACACACAGACATACAAACACACACATATATACATAGCATACAAATGGTGTACTGTTCCACAGCCTTTAAAAAGAAGGGAAATTTGTGTCTATAACAACATTAATGAACCTGGAGGGAGGTCATTGTGCAGAGTGAAACTGCAAGCACAAGAAGACAAATGCCAGAAGATCTAATGTACATATAAAATCTGAATGAAGTCAAACTCATAAAAAAAATGAATATAATGATGGCCCAGGCCAAAAAAAAAATAGCATTGTGTGTGTGTGTGTGTGTGTGTGTGTGTGTGTGTGTGTAACTAGAATATGATGATGTTAAAAAAAAGAAAAGAAAAATACAAATGCTTCATTGACATGATGGTTTCTTCCTTGAGATCTACTGCAGCATGGTGATAACAATGATAATCCCATGCTTGAAAATGGCTGAGTCAACTTTATCAATGTTCTCTCAACTGATAAAAATGTGAGGTAAACATCATCATTAATTTAAGATATATATTTTATATATCATACAACTAAATGTGCATCAATTACATTAATATATAAATATATATTAAAAACTAATATATATATATATATGTAAGCAAATGTTGAATACAAAAAATATACAGTATTTATTTGCTAGTTGTACCCATGTGAACACAGAAAGGGAAAACCCACTGATTATGCCCATAGAGTTATAGAGTTTTTATATTTAAATAATTTTTTCAATTATTTAATATTTCAAAAAGTTTCCCCTCCCTGCTCTCATCCCATCGCCTCCCCTTTTCCATCTATCCCCCTCTCCATCCACTCCTCCTCCATCTCCATCCAGAAAGGGACAGGCCACCCATAGGCTTACACAAAGCATGGCACATCAAATTGAGGCAGGACCAAGCTCCCCCCCCCCCCGCCCCGTTATGGCCAGCCCAAGTAATCCAGCATAGAGAACATGTTACCAAAAGCCAGCTAAGTGCCAGGGAGAGGTTCTGATTTTACTGTTAGAAGCTCTACTAAGAAAACAAATTACATGATAATCACACGTGAAGAAGGCATAGGTTGGTTTCATGTATGCTCCCTGACTGTTGGTGCAGTGTCCATGAGCTCCTAAGAGCTGGGTCAATTGTATCCCCCCCATCATGACCCATCCCCCTGGCTGGTACAATTTCTCCTCCCTTTCTTCTGCAAAACTCTCATAGCTCAGCACAGTGCTTCTCTGTGGATTTCTGACTCTGCTTTCATCACTTACTGGATAGAATATCTCTGATGGCAATTTAGGAAGTAACCAACCTGCTTACTTCAACAATCTACTTCAATACATAGGTGTTCTAAATAAAATACTTAATATTGATACTAATATTTTTCATTTTTCCATAATATTGTGAATACATTAGGTAAATGAATGAATTGAAAAAGATGGCATCATAAAACAGACAGCATGAAATTCCACTTTTGAAATGTGTTTCAAGATATGTTAACTAACTCGTTCCGATAAAAGATCTTCAAAATATGTTAACTACCACCTATTCAATGACAGATTACAGTATTCAGGTTACTTAGCAATCAAAGTGTACTTTCAATGTAATTTAAATGTATTTTTTTTTCCAAAGAATTCTGTGTGTCTCCTTAGTGATTGTAATTAATTAGGTGTAATTAATTAAATGTTCCTTTGCTACTAGAAACAACTCACATAGATTTAAGGACTAAAGTGACATTTTTTGTAACCCATACTAAAACTAGGAATTGCAATATAATGTATATAAGGATTTACTGAAACATATATCTAGATGTATTTTGATTATTTCCAACACACATGAAAATATGCATGGTTACAGGTTTAAAGACAAGAAAGGAGAGTGTGCAGAGTTCTAAAGTAACAGAAAAGTAGAAGGAAAAGCATAATAAAAGTAAAGAAAAATCAATGAGGTCAAAGGAAAAATCTAAAACCAACAACAAAATTTGAAACGTATGTACGGTTATGGAGAAAAAAGAAAAGTTTGAGTAAAGACAATTTATTCAATTGACATGCTTTTCTGACCATTTTCAAAAGCTGCATGGTTACAGCCAATCAAGGGATTCAAGCATCTTTCAGGTTCTCTTGTCAATGAACCTGTATCCACAGTGAATTTGTGTTTTAAACAGCCAATCTCTATCACCTTGGTAAACCCAGGAATGCTTTTGAGTTTAGAGTAGAATGATGTGTAACTATAACAAAACATCATGGATTTTAGAAACAGATAAAGTTTGAGACATGACTGGCTTAGATTCACTAGACAGAGTAGTATCCAAAAACAAGACCTAAGATGTAGACATCTGCAAATGGAGAATGAAGGATATGATGCTTATTTACCTATGAGCCACACATTCCACAGAGGAAACACACAGAACAGGTCATTATAAATCTTTTACAGTTGTTTGGGTTTTAAAACCATTCTTGTTCATTATATAATACACATTCATTTATAACTATTAAAATACCCATGACACAAAATATTAGACTTCATTTTTTTTTACTTACATTGTAAATAATTTCATTGCTAGTACCTTTATATAGTCCTAAATATATCATATATAGAATTCTCCAAAATAGATTTTTAGACACCTAAATTTTTTTGTTTTGTTTTGTTTTTGGAGACAGGGTTTCTCCTTAGCTTTGGAGCCTGTCCTGGAACTCACTCTGTAGAACTGTAGAGCAGGCTGGCCTCAAACTCATAGATATCCACCTGTCTCTGCCTCCTAAGTGCTGGGCTTAAAAGCATGTGCCACCACTGACATCTAAATTTTTAAGAATTTCTTAATTCTTAAATGAAATATTTGGTATTGAGGTTCCTAATATACAGTCATAAGTTCAATATTCCTATAGCCATCTGCTAGGTTTGAGCAAAATACTCATCAAAACTATCACCTGTGAATGAATATTTTCTCCTGTTTTCATACTTATTGTAAGTTTATTTTTCCCTCAAGACAAACTCAGGAATTTTACTTCTCAAATTGTCATGAAACCTGCTTTACACACAAAAACTCCCAAGCCCTTCTAATTTAAGAACAACTGCTGCTTTTATTGATTATTTAGGGAAATATAAGTAACTGTGGGCATTTTTCAAAAAGTGTTTATGAGAATAAATGAAACAAAACAACACCCATAGCTTTCTAATTTCAAAATTCAAACAACCCAATAAATTTTGCATTTTAATTACTCTGACTCTCATTCTCACTTTCTTTTGCCCAAGAAAAATTAAAATTCTCCATGTGTTAAACTCCTTAATTGTCTTTCTTACAGTTCAGAAATAAAATTAATATACACTTTTTTTTTATAAACTACAGTAGATGGAGTTGGAAGGGTGCCTCCGTGTATCAACCTTGATACGAGTGGTGCAGGCCTGGTCCTGCCTCAACTTAGTATGTCAGACTTTGTTGACTCCCTAAGGAAGGCCTTATTCCCTCTGAGGAATGGATAAGGGTTAGGAAAGAGAGAAGGTGGGGAGATGAGATAAGGGGAAGGAGGGTGAACTGGGGTTGCTATGTAAAATGAAAACAATTTAAATTTTTAAAAATTGTTATAAACCACAGGAGATGGAATTACAGGGATGACTCAGGGATTGAGAGTACTCACTGATCTTGCAGAGGAAATGGGTTAAGTTCATCAGTACCCACATGACAGCTCACATCTGTCTGTAACTCCAGTTGCAGAGCACTCAATACATCCTTCTGGCTTCCTTGAGTACTGCTGGCAAGAAAGACACATACAAACATGGAAGTAAAAAAAAATCACATGTAAAAAATAAAAACAAACTTTTTAAAACAGGAGGAAATGTGAAAAATAAATCTAATTCCTGACCTGTTAGTATTAACCTGTTTTGAAATTCTCAACATCACATTGAAAAATGGGTGTGTATTGTAAAATTACACCTCAAGTAAATTCAGAATACTACAAAGCTTTTTAGTGTTTTCCAGTGTCCTTTACATTTCCTCATGTACAATGTTATTGTAACTCAAAGTCAAATCCGATTAATGTTTTTCAATACTTCAGAGAATTTTTTCAAACATATTTTTCCATGCTATTCAATCCCTTTCGCAGGTTACTGTTGACATTTCTTTAAACAAACACAAGCACCTTAGCTATGATCCATGCACATAGCAACTTCAAGATCAAGAACCATATCTACATTTATTTGTCCTTTATTGGACATTTCTTATTGTTTCAACATCTCTGGGTATTTTACCTATATAAAGGAAATAGCATCTTCACAGACTGGCTTCCCTTATTTCTGTAGCCTAAAGTACCAAATGATAGCCTAATATAAAATATATGAATC